AGCTAGAATAACAAATTATAATACATGTTAGACCTTCTGAAGATATCAAAATATTTACTTTCTTATTTTTATTTTTAGAATTTTCACAAATTATACTTTCTCACACTTTTAGAATAATTATATAATAAATTTTTCGTATACTCGCTATTTAAACCAGTGTATTTGTATATATCAGTTGTTTACGATATTCTCCGATGGTGGCAGCACCGGCGGAGAATGCACCAAGCCTATATGCCAATAAAAAATATTTTTTTAATATAATATTAATAGTATTAAAAAATACAGTATATTGCGAAAACATCTGACAATGCAAAATAAACTTCTATTAATAGTTAGAAATAAGCGTCTGTAAACAGTAAACCATTTCCGGTGTGTTTCTCTCGAGTGCACTTGATTTTCCAATTAAGATTTTTTCGTTCTGAAATCGCTTTGCATCGAAAATTTAGAAAAATATTCGCGCGCCAATTCAATTATTGCGCGGCATATTTCGATCTGGTGCTTTTGACAGGTCGCATAAAAGTCCCCAGAGATTGATTTTCGTAGCGGTGTTGTCGGTCTTTGCCTTGTCGTTCGAAGCGATTAAAATTTACGAGCGATCCATTTACGGGGAGCGAGAGATGAGAGCAGAAAAGGTCAGAAAATAAAGGATTAATTTTCACCTCGGTTCGAGTCGAGTCAGGATAGAACAACTGTTCGACTATCGCATTTCGAAATGAATCAAATCATTACTATAGTAGGAGAGTTCGAGTGCAGATTTTGGTATTTATCCTAGCCCTGCGGAATATAATATAAGAGGAGAAACCTTTCTGTTATGTACCCCAAACATACAAAAGTCTATATATATACAGGGTGGTTCGAACTGTATACCGGAAATTTCGGCAGCACATTCTGCAGATAAAAATAAGTAAAACAGTTCGTATAAATGTATGTCCTAAACTGCTTAGTTTCGGTGATGATTTCTGAAGTAACGTCAATATTTGGATGAAAATTGTTGTCAATAGGACTTTTTAGAATTGTATTTAATAGGACTATTTGTAGGGGGCGCCATCTACATGTGTTTTAACTGTTTTAAGGATTAATAACTTTTCGTCCGTACCTGTTTTCGTGACTTTTTACGTAAAAAACGTCTCTTGGTAAAAATCGCTACGAGCAACCGTTCTGAAGATATTTAGAACGGAAGTAAATACATTTTATTATTGACAAAATTTAATTACGTTGAGTAGTGATAGTTATTTGAGTGAAATAATAAATTTGAAAATTTTTATTTTTTTATATTAATCATAATTTTTTCTGTGAACAAAGTGATAAAACAGTTTCTGTTGAACTTTTGGCACCATAAAATTTAAAATTTATTATTTGAGTCTAATAACTTTTTAGTCAACATGTTTAATTCATGTCAATGATGACTCAAATGGTATTGATAATTTCGATTTCAAATATCTCGAGAACCATTACTCGTAGCGATTTTTACCAAGATACCCTTTTTGGGTAAAAACATCGTATATTTTTTTACTCAGTAGTTTTATACAGGTACCGACAAAAAGTTATTATTCTTCAAACCGGTTAAAAATATGGTGGCACCCTCTACAAGTAGGACTGATATTGACATCAAAATCAAATTTTTCATGTCAAAAAACTCCCAGACACAAATTTTCTTTCAAATAATGCCGTTATTTTATAAATTATTTGGAGAAAAATCGAAATAAAACTTCTACACCCTGTATCTCCGAAACTAAGCATTTTAGAACATACATTTATACGAACTTTTTTACTTATTTTTATCTGCAGAATATGCTGCCAATGTTTCCGGAACACAGTTCGGGCTACCCTGTATATACATGTGGTGCATGTAGAGCAGCCTATAAGAGTAGTAGTAGTAGTATCTCAGATGCAAAAAAACGCAACGGAGAAATTTTTTGTCAAAAATTTAGTGTTATTTGTTATTTTTAGCTCTATTTCTATGATTTTTTAGCAAGTTCTATATAATTATATCAACTAAGTTTTTTATAAATTTTAGTATTTGGCATATTATACAAGGTTAATCGGGTTGTTTTTTTTTACCCTAATTTTAAAACACCATGTGCGATAATTTCGTGTGTAAAATTTCCTAAAATATAATTTTACGGTCAGAACCATGTCTTCTGAGTATTTTCTTCTTTGGATAATGTCAATGCATCCCTTTTGTTAACTTTTAAGAGCGAAATGAACTTGCCACCAAGAAATTGTAATTTTTTCAATTATCATTCCTTTTTGAAGTTATTTTCCAATATGACAAGACGGTTCATCATGTTCGACGTTTGGGAAATGCTTGGCAGGAGGGTTAGTGGTCGCTAGGCGGTACCAACTTCATTAACTAAACTTCGCTTGGGTTTTAAAGAAGAAAGAAAAGTATAACGCAATGTGGTATATACAGCCTCAATGACAGTATGAACGGACGTATACAGGCAGTTATAGCAGCCAAGGGAGGCAATACAAAGTAATTTAAAGGTATTTTTACAATTTTTTTTCTGTTTGTATACTTGAGTATTACAGATGTTTTCTCTAATATAGTCAGTTCTGCTATCGTTATTAATATTTATTAAGACCGGGAATGTATTGTTAACTTTTAATGTTTTTTTTTTAATTTAGTATAGAGTATCCAATGCAGCGTAATATGACGTTACGACAATAGTCACCAAAACCATTTCGTCATATTTAAAAAATTACATCAAAAAGTAATGATAATTGCAAAAATTGCAAATTGATCATGATCAGTTCATTTCGCTCTTAAAAATTAGCCAAAGCATGTATTGACATAAATCAAAAAACCTTCAATGCTCAGCAGTCATGGTTCTGACCGTATAATTATATTTTAGAAAAATTTACACACGAAATTATTGCAGAGGGTGTTTTAAAGTTAGAGTAAAAAAGCAACCTCCCGATGAAGCCTGTATAATATGCCAAATACTAAAGTTTATAAAAAACTTAGTTTACGAATTAAAGTTAATATAATTATATACAGTTTACTAAAATATTCATAAAAATATCAAAAATATAACACTTTAAATTTGACCAAAAATTTCTCCGTTGCGTTTTTTTTGCATTTGAGTGTATATTATTATGATCTGGGGTATCTCGTAAATGATTGCAAGTATTGGTAATTTTTGATCCAACTCTGATAGTTTTAAACTACTTTGTCAGGTTTTAACTTTCTATAGTTGGCAACATTGATTCTATCGTCGTGCTGCCACACGATTGTCATTTTGAAGACAATTTTGTTTTTCGACATCCTTACCATTACAAGTCTGGGTTATAATTTGGCCATTTCATCTTCTTGTAAAAATCTGTTAAATTCGTTGAAGTTCAACGAAAAAGGTAAGATGTCATTTTTTGTAGATTCATTATTCTCGATATATATTTTAGGATAAAGTCAGGCACTTAACCTAAGATATTTGGCACGATGTTGACTCACATTTCCTTGCGGGATTTTTTTAAACCCCAGAATGTCTAATAGAAGAAAGGGCGGATGTATTTACCATGGAAACCTTCTAAATATCTCGAGGTGAGTTTAGACTCTTTTTTAACAAGAATGCTAACCTTCATGTTTTTAGGGTCTTACTCCGCGGAAGACAATGGTACGTCCCATAAAAATTTAAGCCTACTGGTTTCTCATAGGCATGTTTAGGATAATATTAGTCTGTAGTTTGTGGCTGTATTTTTTCGAGATGGCCTTTTCTTCCTGACCCCAGTGTCGGTGTCTTGGCCAGTAGTGAACGCCGGAAAAGTGTAGATATACAGGCCCCATCTCACGCTGTCGCTGCTTAGGACAAGATTGCACAAAAATAATATCGATTAGCTAAGCCTAGCTTTATGTTTTACATTACCAACAACACATTTTACAGTTTCAATTTAACTATAAAAATTAAAATAACTTTGGTTGCACATCATAATACGACAACCAGCAAACTCCATAAGACGACGCATGGTGTCATTGATGACGTGCAACGAAAGTTGTTTTAATTTCCCTTAATATATTTTTCTATAATCCTTTTCACTTAACGCAATCGACATTTTGACATATCTGACAAATATTGCTACCATAACTTATCAAAGTTCCACAATGTTAACTACCATCATTAGGATTCATCCTGACTAAATATCGTCATTAATTTTAAGCAACTACGACTGTGTTTTTTTCTCTGTATCTTGCCTGGCGCCCAATTCTTTTAGTCTTTCTTTAGTAAAATAGAATCGAACCTATACAACCCAGCTCTCTGAACAATACGAGTAGCCGTACGCAGGGGTGGCAATTTGATTTTTTATTTATAATAAGTCCTTCAGAAATAACTCTGTAACAAATTTAAGTATGACATAAGGAAATGGGAGTCACAAAGTTGGAAAAAACATCACCTGGGCATACTTGAGCGTGTTAATTTTTATTTGGAAAAAAATATTTAAGAATCGCGGGAATAATATAATCTCCACTAATTGATATGTTGGCTTCCTTTTTAAGGAAATTTTGTAGAAACCAACGAAAAATCCAAAACTGACAAAAGGTATTTATGTATTAGTGGTGTCATAAATTTGTTTTACAACATTTTGTCGTTCTCCAAATATAATAGTGCACCTATTTTTATTATGCTGACTACAGTTTCACAATCTAGAATGGAACGGATAGTCGTCCTTTAAAATTTGCATTTTAAAATTAACGAAAGCATGTCTTTTTAAAATCGGCTTAACATTTACTATGAACTTAAATAGTTAATATATAATTTATGTCAAGTAGTATTACTACTACGTAATAAATAAAAGTCTTATTGGTAATTATATAAAATAAACTTATATAAAGACAAATTTCTAATATCTTTCTGGTTTTAATTTTGTTTTGTCGGTAAAATTTCATACAGATCTGGCTGAAAATTTTTGAATACAAAATAGAAAATCAGATAAAGAAACTTAAATGTGGTTTAAACTTTTTGTATTCATCGTAAAATTATAATTATACACAAAATGCCACTCACCTCATATGGTTCCCCTATTATCGGCCCAGCTTGTGCCAAATATAGTGTCGAGGCAGAATCAAACACTAACTCTAATGGCTTCCTCTGCACCGATACCGTGTCTGCTTCGGTACAATTAAAAAATAAAGTTATATTTTCCAGAGTGACTCTGAACGCGAACTTCGTCCATTTGTTGGTGAACTTTGGCACTGTAAAATTGGCTATAATCTGAGAGTTTACCTCTGCAACGTAGTCAGTGTAGAATAGGGATAATACTGTAAATGTTCCATTCTCTGGTCCTATTCGAACACCTAAAAAATGAAAAAAGTACTTATTTATTATATAAAACAACTAGGCTACAATTTATCCAGGCAAGAATTCTTAAACGCGGAAACGAGATTTGTGTGTTTAATAATATAATTCTTTGCCACAAATACATGGTCAGTCTTAAATAAGTAACAATAATTTCAAAGCTGATAAGTCTTGATAAAGCAACATATTTTTTTACCGTTTTTCAAATATGTCCAACATAGCCGTTATTTTGCTTTGAAAATCAAAAAATCATTGAAATTACCAAAAAAAAATTGAGATCCACTGGATTTATTCTGTTTTTGATTTTATATATTTAACCTTCTATCTATATTTTAATTTCTTTTTGTAAAAAAATCTCATAAAATCTCAACGTGAAATCGAAATATATCAACCCCAAAAATATGTACAGGGTGGTCGAAATTGGTCTGTTTTAACAGAGAAAACCTATTTCCTGGCTAGATAGAGCAAAACCGATAGAGATGTCATGGGCTCGATTTCTGAGACACGTTTAATGGCGTAAACCGTCTGTTGATATTTTCACTGCCAACTGAGATACGGGTTATTCTTGAATTTTTTACCATTTTGAAAATTGCTTACAACTTTTTTATTTTGCGGAATAATAAGATTCTGTAAAAACGTTCTTAAGGCACTTTTTTAAGCACAATCCAGTGCGTAGTCAGTTTTTTTCTATGCTTGCTCTTTTTGTCACAAATAATGAAAAATATAATTTTTTAACTGGAAATCATAGTTGGCTATGTACATAAAAAAATGCTGGCGTTTAACCTTTTTCAACGATACAAAGTTAGGGGCACCTATTTCTAAGAATGAGAGAAATATTAGATGTTTTATCTTTATATCGAAGCGGGCACTTATTGAAGACTCACCCTATATATAAAGATCATCTGAGCTTAAAATAGAGAGTCTCTTTCATTTAAAATACATTTTTTATTGTATAAACATAAATTTAACTTAATTATAAATATGTTTAAAATTTCGAAATATATAAATAGATCTGCAAATCTGGTTTTATTAAATTAAACTTTGGCAGACAATGGCGCTTAGTAAATCAACTCCAGCCATTTGATTACACCAGCAAATGTAATTTGTCAATTATTTTTGCCTTTGTTAGAATATTTCGTTCATAAAAAGTTTGAATTAAAATTATAAAACGTGATTACACAAAATAACAATAATTTTGAAATAATACTATTTATTAAAAAAATATATAAATTATTTGTGTATTAAATTAATGTTTTTTAATCAAAAAATTTAAAACATCACCAACAAATTTTGATGGATTAAAAAGAAGATTAATTGATTAAAATTAACAACTAAACAGGTTGAACATTGTGACGCAGTTTCTTTCTATTTAGCGAGCGGAAGAAGGAGTAAGAATCTTGTCCATATTTTTGGTTTGGTTTTAACCAAACTTTTTTCTAAGTTTAATTCTAAGAAAAAGTATTTTTTTCTAAGTTTAATTCTATTAATTTTCGAAGATTCAATTACCAAATACACATATAATTTTTTATATACAAGGTGCCATAAAATAATGTATCTCACTTAGGTGGGTGATTCTACAGATCAAAATAAAACAAAAAGTCCTTCTCATATTCCCTAAAATGCTTCCCTAAATATTCCCTAAAAAGCTCGTGATAGGAAACGCCCTGCGTAACCAGTAAATAATCATCAGCGAGTAATGGCAGTAGGTAAGTAAAATGCTTCCCGAAGAAATTACAGCCCTCGAAAGGTTAAATAAAAATTTTATATTTTATTTTTAAGAACATTTGGTAAACCGTTTTTTCTTGAAATTTGGTACTCTTACACACATTTTACATGCCAAAGCGATTGGCGATAGTGTAAAATTCTGTAACAGCCCTGAAAGAGCCCTTTCCATTAGGGCAGAGAGTACTACTGGTGGTACTTCTTGTATCCTTATATATACAGTAATTTTAATAAATAAAAATTAAAGCTAGGACTTTTTACGTAAAAAGGTGCTTTTCGTTTAGTTCGAAACAGTGACCGGTTTTCAAGATATTTGCATTTAAAGGTTCCGATGCATCGACTTTAGCATTAGCGAAATCTGTGGGTTAATTTACTTACAATTTCTTTACATTTTATCATTTCACTAATACTAAAATCGATACATCGTATCTTTAAACGCAAATGTCTCGAAAACCGTTCACCTTTTCGAACTAAACAAAGAGCACCTATTTTATGCAAAAAGTTCTAGCTTTTTATATCATTTGTTAAAATTACTGTATCTACAAGAATAAAAAAAGTACCACGAGTAGTACTTTCTACCCTAACGGAAAGTACCATTTCAGGGCTGTTACTGTTATATTTTACAATCGCCATTCACTTTGGCATTGAAATGTGTGTAATAGTACCAAATTTCGGAAAAAATGGTGTACCAATGTTCTTAAGATAAACAAAGTATTTTATTTTTATTTAGCCTTTCGAGGGATGTAAGTTCTTCAGGAAGCATTTTAGAGGATAATATACACAACCAAACTTATATGGAATCACTTTTTATTTCTGACTAAATTCCTTGCAAGGATAAAAATTGGTATACAACTTTAAGATAAGGCTTTTTGTTGTAAAAAAACATAATAATAAAGAATAAACAACTGCCGGCGATTTATTTTCTTTTAAATTTTGTGTTCAGTAGTAAAATCACGATTGTCTGATAATGTTTATTCGATCCAAAAAAATAAAAAATGCCTTATGTTGGATTAACAGATGTACAGAGCGGAAGAATTATCGCTCTCGCCGAACAAAGAATGCTCCAAAGAGACGTAGTAGAGATAGTAGGCGTTAATCAGGGTGTTGTATCGAAAACATATGCAAGGTACTTGGAATTAGGAACACACAAGGATAAGCCCAGACAAAGTCGTCAAAGAGTCACAACTTAACAACAAGACCGCCTTGTGTGCCAAATTGCTAGAATAAATCCCAACGTTTCTCATCCAGAGCTACAAAGACAACTTCTCACAGCTACAGGTGTGAACGTTTCAGTTGAAACGATAAGAAAAAAGTTTCGTGCTCGAAGGTTTTACAGTAGGAGAGAGTTACGGATCCCACAGTTATCCCGGCAAAATAAAATTGACCGGCTAAATTGATGCCTTCAACATCAAAACTGAACAACTGAGAATTGACAAAATGTTCTTTTTTTCGGATGAGAACAGAATTCACCTAAGATCAGATAACCATCGAATTCGGGTTCTCAGAGCTCCAGGACGACGAGCGAGACTTCAGGCTGCCAAATTTCTACCAAGATATAAAGGAGGAACTGTAATGTTCTGGGGAGGTATTATACTGGGAGCAAAAACTCCATTGTTACCAATTCACCAGATCTAAACCCTATATAACACTTGTGGGACCAGCTCAAAAGAAGTGTTCGAACTCGTCGAAAAAAAGGTTAATCCAGGAAATCTTGCACAGCTTATTGATGCAGCATTAGCAGAATGGGAAAACATACCCCAAGACAACATTGATAATTTAATAAGAAGCATGCCAGCGCGGATAGAAGCTTGCATAAGGGCTAGAGGTGGCAACAAGGAATATTAAAATTATCAATTTTCTTTTTGTTTTTGTTTTTTTGGCCATTAAAACTTTAATGCCCACTTGCACCGTTTGTATAAACTTTGTTTAAAGGCTAAACAGTGATTAACTATAATAAAATATGTATAGTTAATCACTGTTTAGCCTGTAAACAAAGTTTATACGAACGGTGCAAGTGGGCATAAATCTTAATTTTGTTTTAGAAAACAAAAAATACCATTTTTTTATTTTCATTAAATTATTTTACATTTAAGATTATTTATTTTAGATTTTACATTTAAGATTATTTTTCATTAAAAGTCATTGGTAAGGACTGAGGCTTATTCATAAACACAACATTTTTTCATACGTCTCAAAAATTATGAAAGATAATAGATGATTCCATATAAGTTTGGTTGTGTGTAGGAACTTTTAGTTTTATTTTTATCTGTAGAATCACACACAAAAGTTAGATACACTATTATTTTGACACCCTGTCAAAAAAAATGTGTTAACACAAAAAATATGTCAATTTATTTACTTATAGTTTATAGTTCTGATTCAGGAAAATTGGTATCCACACAAGAAAAAACTAGTGACTGTAACAGTATAATATATATTGTGCTAATTACAGTTTCATTAGACAGTTAATGTTACAAAAATAAACACGTTCATATTTCTTCCAGTTCTCCTACGTTGTTAGTTTGTAATTATCACGTTACTAATTGTTACATGTATTATTTATTTTTGCGTTTTACGAACCGCGTTCAACTTTAAAACAAACAGCAGTTGTATGACTAATGGTGTTTGCCTCAGTCATTTTTCATTCGTGCGTTTTGTAAATGTTATTTCGCCTCTAGGGCTAAATGCAGTAAGCCACTTTAGGTTTGAAATGAAAATTAATATTATATTTGGTAAATAGCCCGTATTTGCGTAATATTATAATTCTTGTAACAGATATTTTAAAACAGTATTTTAGCACTAAGAGTTTTTGTTAATACGGAGTGGTCCGAATTATATATGGGAATCTTCGGCGGCATATTCTTCAGACGAAAATAAGTAAAAAGGTTCGTATAAATTTATGTCCTAAAAGTGCTTATTTTCGGAGATACAGGGTGTAAAATTTTTATTTCATTGTTTTACAAATAATTTTTGAACTAACGTCGATATCTGGATGAAAATTGGTGTTTGGTTGCTTTAAAATAAGAAATTTTATTTCTATGTCAATATGACTTTTATTGATAGGGGGCGCCACCTATATGTTTTTGAACTATTTTGAAGTGTAATAACTTTTCGTCCGTACTTGTATTAAACTACTGAGCAAATAAAATATAATATATTTTCGCCGTTTTTACGTAGAAATGTTCTCTTGGTAAAAAGCGCTACGAGTAATATTTCTAAAGATATTTGGAATCGAAATAATTAATACCCGCCATTATTGGTAAATTTCAAATATGTTTACTAGACAGTTATAGACTGACATAACAAATCTGAATTTTTATTGTGTCAAAGGTTCAACAGAAATTATTTTATTATAATTTTTCCTATAAAAATTTATGATTAATTTAAAAAAAATCCTAAATTTATCATTTTAGTCAAATAACTATCTAGTCAAAATGTTTATTATATTTGGTCAGTGAAAATATGTATTGATAATTTTTATTCCAAAGGCAGAAAAGAACGGTGGATCGTAGCGATTTTTACCAAGAGACCATTTTTGCGTAAAACCGCGCGAAAATGTATATTTTTTATTCAATAGTTTAATACAAGTACGGGTGAAGTTATTATATTTATTTTATATATTTATCTTCAAAACAGTTCAAAAACATGTATGTGGCGCCGCCTATAAGTAGACATTATACTGATATCAAATATGTGTTCTCATCTATATATTTCAAGTAAGTGGACATCTTAGTACAAGATATAAGATATATTATATCTTATAAACTCACCGGCAAAAAAAACCGGCCACTAAAAACTAGTCCCTATTTCAAAGTTGGATTTCTCGCGAACCACTCATTAGATTTTGATAATTTTTTTAAAATTGTAAATTAATTCCTTCTTAACGGATGCTACGTCAGAAATTTTTATTTCGAATTTATTTTGAGCATATACAGGGCACAACAATAAGACGAAGTTTTTTGCCCGAACTTTGTAACACCCTGTAGGATGCAGTAGCTGTAGTAGCTATTGCTAAATCAAATCACATTATAGCCTCATCTTTTGTGAGCATTTTATTTTTTTAATCGCGACATTATCTCTGTTTGTATTGAAGATAAGCTGCTTTAAAACGAACGTCTCGGAAAATGCTTCGCAGGCAGAAAGTTTTATGTATTAATCAAGGCGACAGACGCGACGCGACATAGGCGAAAACGGATTTATGAGTATTTGCAATATGACAACTACGGTTGTCAAATTAAAAAATGACATTATCTCTGACGGATATTGCTCGTATTGTGGCTTTAATTGAGGATGGCCGAAGTCAACGTTATGAGTCCGATACCCTGGGTACACCTCGAACAACAGTCCAGGATGCCTGGAATCGGTTAATGGAAACGGCAAATTTCACCAGACGAGTGGGTTCCGGAGGAAAACGGAAGACAAATGCAATTGACGACCGCTTTATTGTCCTGAATACTTTACGAAATCGTAGGATTACAGCGTTTCAGAATCAACATCTGCTACAAGCCGTGCGTAGAACTTAAGTTAGTGAGAGAACAATCCGTCGAAGACTAAAAGAAAACAGCTTGTCTCCAAGGAGGCCTGCCACAGGACCCCAGCTACTTCCAAGACATCGTCAAGCACGTCTTCAGTTTGCGCGTTACTTGTGAATTGGGATATTGAGCAATGGACTAGAGCTTTTTTCGAGACGTTTGATTTAAAGTATCTCCAATACAAACAGAGATAACCTCGTGATTAAAGAAAAAATGCTCAGAAAAGATGAGGCTACAATGTGATTTGATTTAGCAATAGCTACTACAGCTGCTGCACCCTACAGGGTGTTACAAAATTCGGGCAAAAAACTTCGTGTTGTGCCCTATATATGCTCAAAATACATTCGGAATAAACATTTGTGACGTAGCATGCGTTAAGAAAAAATTAATTTACAATTAAAAAAAAATCATCAAAATCTAATGAGTGGTTGGCGAGAAATCCAACTTTGAAATTGGGACTAGTTTTTAGTGGCCGGACTTTTTTGCCGGTGAGTGTATTTTAGCTTAAACTTGTCTATAGTTTTGACATTTTTTCCAGTCAAATATAACTCGTATTATATTGACATTCTGGTGTGCGATTTTTAATTTTCTTTACACTGTAGTAGCTAAAACCTGAGATTCGAGCGGATCCGCGTTGACTTAATTTTTTTCTTATTATACAGTCCCTCTGCAATATTTTCCATTAAAATTTAACTGCCAAGAACTACCAGTAACTAATATACCGGAACCTTTCAGGTGCCATGTCTTTACAAAAGAAAGCACTTTTTCAGGTCTGGTGCCACGAAAAAGACGTCAAAGTGAAAAACTTGGTTGTCATTCAGTATGTTGTTAAAAAAATAAATATAGGAGATCCTGATGAACACATGTATACTGAAATTATCAAAAAAAAAGGAATTTTACAGGTAAATTGAATAAAAAGTGGCATAACTGGCATCGCACTTTAAAAGTGTTTGCTGCGCGCTGTCATCAGTAGCTTGATAAAGAAATAGATAGTCTTCCTAGTCAATGTTGTGCAAATATGGTTCCAGCAAATAATGTTGGTAGACCAACAAAACAAAAAAATATATAAACAAAAAAACGACACAATAAACATAGACGAACTCTAATTTGAAACTAAAGTTTGATATGCCTTCATTAAGTAATATAACCTCAGTAATAAATAGTACTTAGAGTATTTATTAAGTTCACTTTGAAAATATTGTATTTCTAAAATAATAGATTGAAATTGAATATAAGATATACATTAAATTCCAGTTGTAAAAATGTTCGTTAAATAAATTAGACATTTGTATTTATCATGTCTAACAGATTCAGCACAAAAATATACACATATTAATTTCATACGAGTCCCTCCATGTTGGCATTATTTTTTAAGTCACTCTTGTACAGGGTGGGTCAAATTCGACGCTTTTATATGGAAACACCCTTTTCTATAGGAGATAGACAAAAACTAATATCGGTGTCTGGTGCTCAATTTTTGTCAAAAACATGATGGTGAAAACCGCATATCGATATCTGTTACCGTTTCGGAGTTACGGGGTGTTTTTCAAAAATATGCATTTTTATCAAATCGTTGTAACTTTTTTGCTATGGAAAATGTTGTATTTTTATGAAAACATTTCCAAAGCACCTTTTTACGTAGAATTTAATGGTTTAAGTATAATTTTTGTAAAATTAATAATTTAAGAATTATCAACAGGAAATTTGATTTTTTATATGGGACACCCCATATATTTTTAATTTATTGAAAAGAATTTAAAATTACCTTTTCAAAAATATAACACACTTGATATTTTGCTCGATTCCTATTCGAGATATAGAGTATATAAAAATTCGCTCGCTTTAAATAAGTAGGCTTTGAACGGCGTGAGCATCACTTAAAACTGTGAGCATCAATTAAAACGAAAATAATATTTGCTATGAGAGATGCAGAATTTTATAACAATTTAAAATATATTTCACCAACATCAACACATTTAAACTATATCTCATAACAATAAAAATAAATAGCAAACCAAGACATAAGATTTTGCTACAGGTGTTCGACATATCGACCGTCTTCTGTTATGGGGCAGTTTTTGAACATTTCTCGCGGAATTCATTAACTCAGCAGGGGTGAAATATACCCTCTCATAACTGCTAAGTATTTCTAATTCTTGTCTAGATTATATGGAAGAATAAGGAACCTTTATTCTCCCGCAAATATATCCATAGGATTAGATCCAAGGGCACTAACTCAGGCGGCCTCGACGGCCAACGGCTGGGATCTTGGTGAGCTATTCAATTATTCTTGAAATTGGCTGATAACTTCAGCGTTCAGAGGCGGTGCGTCGTCTTGCTGGAAAAATATATTTTCGAGTTCCATTAAGGGCATATCATCAATAAGGGGTCCAAAGCCTACTAGTTAAAAGTGGCGAACTTTTAAAAATTCTGTATTTTCAAGGGGATTATAACAAAATATTAAGTGTGCTATATTTTTGGAAAGGTAATTTTAATTATTTTCAGTTAATTAAAAATATAGAGGGTGTCCCAAATAAAAAATCATTTTTTCTGTTGATAACTCTTAAATTATTAATTTAAAAAAAAATTATACTTAAACCATTAAATTCCACGTAAAAAGGTGCTTTGAAAATGTTTTCATAGAAATACAAAATTTTCCATAGCAAAAAAGTTACAGCCATTTGTTAAAAATGCACATTTTTGAAAAACACCCCGTAACTCCGAAACGGTAACAGATATTGATGTGCGGTTTTCACTATCATGTTTTTGATGAAAATTGAGCTCCAGACACCGATATTAGTTTTCGTCTATCTCCTATAGAAAAGGGTGTTTCCATTTAAAAGCATCCAATTTGACCCACCCTGTACATAACCTAATATTTAATCAAATACATACTTCCTTTTAGTTTTATTGATTATTAATTTTTAACTGCTAGATTATACATTTTACCCACTGTGAAACGGTCCTATTTTTCGTCCAACCCGCCTCTGTTTCATTTTTTTTACTTCACTTTGTTTTTTTTTTTTAAATTGGGAAATCGATTTTTATTATTTTACAATATGTTGTAGTCTAAATGTGAACTTGAGAAAACCCTTTAGTTTAAGACATTTACACATTTTGTTCCAGATATATTATTTAATTATTAAAAATTGCACGGTAACATTGTACGAATTCGCATTCAGTGTAAACGTTCTCTATCTTACCTAGTTCGACGACAGTGTCCAGCGGATTGACCACCGCAAAAACAAAGCCTCCCCGCTTCGTCCTGGGTTTGGCGCTGATCAGCACGGCAAACTCCGGACTTAAAACGTCGGGCAGGATCTGTCTGCGGGCCATTTTCACATCTGAACCGGCCTTGAAGCCGAAGGCGGGGAAACCGTCCTCGCTGTCGGCCACGTACTGAGTTTTGGGATCCTGGAGCGGAATCTTAACAGCATCCAGGAGGTTATAGTCGAAAACTGGAAGTAAAAGTAATGCTTTTATTAGAATGTGGTAGAAAATGATAATTTATACAATCAAATATCTTCTTAAAACGGTCATTACTCTATTCGCAAAATAACCCGAAGAAGGTCAAGGTTGAATAGTAAAGAGGGTTATTCCCCCCGTGTTTCCTCTTGTCTCTAGTAACTACTTCGTGTAACGTGTAATACGTCGTGTCGGTTTCTAAGCTCGAGTCAAAGATCTTCTTTTCATAAATCTCAGTGAAATAAGTAAACCTAGCCGTTTCTAAAATATCTGCTGTTACAATGTTTCCTTTAATTACATCTCGTTATGGTGAAATATATTCCACAAGATAAACATTTCGACAGGCTATTATAATATATATACCAGGTACTTACAAACAAAAGTTTTCACTTAATCTACAGGAATATAATTACAATATTTTTATTATTTAATTTTATTATAATTAATTAATACATAAAATTGTATATGTTATGATTGTTTGTGGCAGCATTGATTGTCTATAACAGATATTTAAAAACAAAACGTCTCGCTTAATCTGCAGGAATATAATTACAAAATTTATATTATTTAATTTTATTATAATTAATAATAGTTAATACATAAAATTGTATATGTTATTATTGTTTACGGATTTAACTTATTAATATACCTGTATTATTGCTTGATGAGCAATACTGGCAACATCATTAATATGTCGAGCTGATAGGTTGTCTTGACTTGAGGGTAATTATATTCATTTAAGTCATTTTACTGACTTAACTTGCAGATCATTATGATTTAAGTCAAAAATAGAGACTTAAGTCATAAAAACAACTTAAATAACGTTATATTGATCGTCTTTACGAAATTGACATGACTTGAAATAAAATGACTTAAGTCAAAGACTTAAGACTTAAATCATTTGAACTTCATGTTGAATTTGATTTAAGAATCCATTGAATGCACTAGTAAAATCTTGTCAGATCAAAGAATATCACAACAAGAAAAGAAAATATATGCTTTAGTTTACAGATGTTAAATAATTAGAAAACATGTATTTTACTTTTAATAATACTCCCTTTACCACAATAACAAAATTTACAAACGAAAGTAACATCAATGCATCCTAACCAGCAGTTTAAAAGCTATTACCTAGCACCCATCTTTTACCTCTCCCAGGTTTGCGATTATTAGTTTAAAAATCATTAATTATGTATACAGAGTGTGTTAAAACTGAATGTTGGGAATTTAAAGAAATATTTTTATTTGTAAATAGAGTAGTCAGCCCAACTTATAAAATACATTATTATTAGGTATCGATACAATTTGTAGTTTTAAGATATAACATTTAAATTAGTTCATATTTGATTACGGTCAGCCAGCCATCTGACTGAAACATATAAAAAAAAACAAAATATCAAAAAAATACCGATATCCAGTGGTGTTATATAGCATTTCAAAGTAAATTGGAGTAGTTTAAGTCTTTTAATTGCGGCACTGCGTTTGTCGGCGCTTTTGTCGGTATCTGTCGGACAAAGAAATAAAGAGTCTCAAACAAGTCTAATTTTCTTTGGATATACTTTACTTAATATTGTAAAATATATTTGTATTGTGAAGAATCTAAATTCCGAGTTGACCGAGTTGAAAATATGATATTTAGGAATATACTAAAATTCATGAATTTGTGTTTGAAGAAATTGCAAAATAAAACACTAATTCACCACGATACGTTTTGATGTATTGTACCAGCAAATGTTCCAACCCCCAACTGTAACAATAATAACTCAGATGCAAAAAAAACGCAACATAGCGATAACGATATTAAAGAAAACATCTGCAATACTCAAGTATACAAAGAGAAAAAAAATTGTAAAAAATACCCTAATACTTTGTATTGCCTCCCTTGGCTGCTAGAACTGCCTGTATACGTCCATGCAAACTGTCATTGAGGCTGCATATATCATATTGCGTTATGATTCCCATTCTTCTTTAAGAACCAAGCGAAGTTGATTTAGTGAAACTGATACCGCTTCGCGACCTCTAAACCACTTGCCAAGCATTTTCCAAACGTCGATCATGATGGGCAGTTCATAGTAGTCTATAGTTCACAATAATCACCAAAGCCGCCTTTTCATATTGAAAAAGAAATGATAATTGAAAAAATTGCAAATTGTTAGTAGCAAGTTCATTTCACTCTTAAAAATTAACCAAGGCATGTATTGACATGATTCAAAAAAGAAAATGCTGACAAGACATGGTTCTGACCGCAAAATTATATTTTAGGAAAATTTACGCACGAAATTATTGCACATGCTGTTTTAAAGTTAAGTTAAAAAATCAACCCCTCGTTTAACCCTGTATAATATACAAAATACTAAATTTTATAAAAAAACTGAGTTTACGAATTAAAGTTGATATAATTATATACAGCTTGCTAAAAAATCACGAAAATAGAGCTAAAATTAACAAAAATATAACACTTTAAATTTGACCAAAAATTTCTCCGTTGCGTTTTTTTTGCATCTGAGCGTATATTTCAGTTAAATAAGAAACACTTAACTGAAAACATAGAAAAAGTCTCAAATCTTTAATAATTATTTAATCTTTAATTCTGTTTACCAAAATTTTCGTATGGTATGTATCTAGTTAAGAGAACTGCAAGTTGCCGTAGGGTGTTCCTGTTTAAAACGAGAAGCTTTAGCGTTGCTTGGCGCCGAAAGTTTTATAAACATTTTGGCTTTTAGAGTTTTAGTAACTCCAATAAAAAACTTAGGCTTTATTTATATTTCACACTTATACAAATTTAATTAAAAATATAATCAAATTTAACAGTCAAGTCAATCAAGTTTTAATTCTTGTTCCAACTAAAGTGTGAATGAAAGTATATAATTTTATTCTTTTTTGATTTTTTTCCTTATTAATAACAAAACAACTATGTTCGTATTGAAAGGCTAACAAGTGTACACCACTTGTAAACTTTATTCCAACTGAAATATGCTTTATCTATTGGAAAACCAGCTGAGACAAAACGCAAAGGCGGAAACTACTGTGTAGACCGAAAAACCCGGTTGTTCTGTCGAAGAAATTGCACGCCAGCCAGGCAAAATACGGAAAGCTATTGAATAAAAGAAATACGACGCGCGAATAGAATTTTCGAGAGTATTTCAATATTCCCGGTGCATTAGCTCGATGTTAGTCGCATAACACTTCCGGAAAAGTTCGAAAGTTATCGATTCGGAAGTCGTAAAAATATATAATTTAAAAATAGTTTGCATAGGGAATGGATTGGAACGTAATAGAAATCCAGAATCGAATGGTTCTGTTAAAAGAATGTTCAAATTAATAGTAAACTTGGCTGGAAACAAACCGGGATTGGATTAAAAAATGTATGAAAAGTAATAGTAAGAGGTAGATTGAAAACTTTAAGCACCTGCAAAATAGTTTCAAAAAACGACCTTAGGAAATCAGGAGATCTCGGAGAGGATTAAATCATGTGAGAATATCGCCAGGTTAACGATGACTGATGACCAATTGGTGAACATACTACCAGAATGGACATTTCTTTCAACGAAGTTTTCCAAAGCCGCAGGGAACCAAAAGAAAGAGAAAAGGAAACAGTCTTACATTTCCTATGCCGCTATTTGGCTTTTTATGGGACCCAAATCGGTTCCTCGGATGCTGCAACTTCGTAGATATTGAAGATATTTCTGGAAGAGCATTACTGAAGTCATCCGTTTCCTGAATGCACCTCTAAAGCCACCCGATTCCACAGACGTTAATTCCAGACTAGAATGGGATTGTGTGCGTCCTCTAAATACATTGGAAGAACATAGCAATTTACTTTAGCCTGGGTACTGCGCACGCGGGAACAAAGGATAACGAAAAAGTAGATGGCATTACCCAACAATGCTCACCAATGCCATTAATATATTGAAAACTCTTCGATAGCGATTCTATTTATGTCCAAACTACCGTTGATGGCCATCAAATATCTAATTGGTAGACCATAATTGATATTTAATGGTTGCAGAGAAATAGGCCACTAGACATCTCGAAAAAAATCTTATCTAGTGACTTGAGTACCAGGGTATCTATCGGAGTATCTAAGGTAATAAATAATAATTCCCGTGCCTAAGAATGCTGTAAAATACCTCGGAGCCTGGTTAGATAGTAAAATAACATTCTGTTACCCAAACAATCACAAAAGCGGAAAAACTCTAGCAGCATTATCAAAACTAATGGCGAATATAGGGGGCCTAGGCCATTAAAGCGAAGAATTCTTGGAAGCGTAATATATTCACAATAATTGTTATATGCAGCTCCAGTATGGTGGAAATCAATGGAAAAATAAAAGCAAAGGGAAAGATAACACCTCTGCAGTGCAAATTATGTATTAGATTTTGTAGCGCTTATAGAAACTATAGCTACTGAGGCAGATAGTGTCATTGCGGGCATCCCTCCTATCCACTTATTAGCTCATTAACGAGCGGATAATTACAAGGGTGAGCTCAAACAAATAATCAGGTAAACTGTGATGGAGAAGTGGCAGGATCCGTGGGATAAAGGAAAATATGGAAGATTGACCTGGAGACTTATGCCCAACATTGAAAAATAGATTGACAGACCATACGGTGAAGTGGGATACCACCTGACACAAATGCTGTCTGGACACGGATACTTCCGAAAATACCTCTATAAGATGCTCTGAGTCTATCTAAAAGCTCTGAATCATGTATATTTTGTGGTAAAATAGACGATGTTGAGCATGTATTCTATTGTCCCAGGTGGAAGGATGAGAGAGATAATTTTAAGGACAGTGGACTGGATTTCACTGAAACGAACATGATGAGAATCCTTGAGGGAGGTGAATTATTATGACAGAACTTTTAGTCATCATCATCATCACGCAGCCCCCTTTCACGTCCATAGTTGAACATAGGCCTCCTCCAAACGTCTCCAGTTCTCGCGGTTTTTAGCTGTTGCAATCCAGTTAGTTGTTATTCGTTTCAGGTCG